CTAACAGAAATTAGTACCAGGAGACTTCCTGCGGGTAAAGGAAGGACGACGCGTGAGGCTGACATCACAGATTGTTTAGGAAATGTGGGAGCCTCGAAGTCTCACAACCCTATGGGCCTCCAAAACCTCTTACAGGGATAGCTTTACCTTTTTTACCATTACCCGCGATACCCCCCTCGCCTACCGCTAGGTGTACATGTACCACCGATTGAGAAACAACATTAAGTTAATAAGAAAAAGAACAAGACGAGAAGGATATGCGGCACAGAAAAGAGGAAGAGACCGAGTTCCGGATATTTTACCAAAGAAAACAATCATACTATGACACCTCATAGGAATTACTTTTACAGTTGCACGTTGCGAGGCAGAACACATGGATACACGCAGCGAATTTCGTAAACTGGTGACACCTACGAAAATAAATATATTTTAATGTTGAAAGAATAGGAAATGTAGAAAATCCTCATGATCAGTATTGACTTGTTTAAGAGGGATATGAAATACCCAAGTCGGAACACACTGAATGATCTGCTGCAGTTTCCATCAAAATGGTAAGCTTCTTTTCCTTACAGCCCGACCAATAGCAAAGCCTCTTCCACACGAAAGAGAAACGAAAGCCTGAAGCAGCAGACTGGTCTGTGTGTCCAACGGCTGCAGCAAAACGTGGAGGCTTCTTGAGAAAGACACAAGGGGAAACAATCGGCTCTCAAGAGACAACCCTCTTACTGGAGTCAGGGCACGCTCTGACACCCACCCCTTCCGTGCGCCTCTAGCAACCCGCCACGCAGCAGGCTCATGAGTTCCTGCTGCTATGCCGGAAACAGAGAGGGGAGGAAACTGAGGACGAAGGACACGTGGAGGAAGAGGGGGGAAACGAAAAGTAAGACAAAGAAGGAGAGAGAAACATCTAAAAGGAGACGCAGAAGAAAAGATTAGAAATTGTAGAAGAACGTAAAAAAAGGTAAAGCTGTCCTTGTAACGAGCCGTGAAGACCCATGGGGTTGTGAGACGTCGAAACTCCCACATTTTCTAGACAATCGACTCACAGATGGCGGTGAGGTTGTCAGCCTTATGCGCCGGCCGCCCTTTACCCTCAGGAAGATTCCTGGTACTCATTTCTGTTAGAGACTGAATCCACCCCAGGGCCATAGGGCGGCTGGAAGGATTAGGTCAGTTGAAGAATGCAATAACCTCATTTGGACTCGAACCCGCGACCTTCCGGCTTGTAGCATAGTGCCTCAACCAACTGCGCTACTGCGTGCCCCCCTTTAGAAGAATACAAGAAACAAAAAGAGAATGTAAACAATACCTGAATGCATGTGTATGGTAGGGGCACGCGGTAGAGTAGTGAGTTGAGGCATTATACTACAAGCCTGAATGTAGCGGACTCGATTCCCGACGAGGTCACTGGATTTTTCATTTAGCCCATCCTTCCAGCCGCATTATGGCCCTGGGGTCCACTCAGCCTCTAACACAAATGAGTACTAGGAATCTTCCTAGGGGTAAGGTTAAGGTCGGCGCGTAAGGCTGACACCCTCATCGCCATGTGTTAGCCGATAGTCTAGACAAAATGTGGGAGCCTCGACGTCTCACAACCCTGTGGGCCTCCACGGCCTGCTACAGAGATAGTTTTTATGTCTAAGGGAATGAGGGAATGAGAAAACATGCGAGGAAAGAAAAGATAAACGTGTGAAGGGACAGAGTCAGAAACAGAATAAACATAAATGAATGAAGAGATGATGTAAGAAAAAAAATTAAAGAGACAGAGTAAAAAAGAAGTTAAGGATGTAAGGTAGAAGAGGAAAACAAAAAAAAAATGGCAAATGGACGATGAATGGAGATAAGGCGAGAGAGAGAAAAAGTCGATAAGAAGATACAGAGATCTATGGGAATGAAATGAGGGGGGGCAGAAATGAGAAAATGTGGTCGAGAAGGGAAAGGTGGATATCAGGTCACGGCGGGAATGAAGGAAACTGCCAGATGTGAAGAGATTCTCAGACTAGAATGGCTGCACAGAAAGGGTGAATAAGGAAGGGTAGGCGAGGAGGAAGGGGAATGAACATGCCTACAACTGCCAGAACTGGAGACAGGCGTGGGCAAACAAACAAATACAGGTGCGAAGACGTTGCACGTATGAGTATTTTCTCGAGTACTGTTGACATTGGAAACGTTACCATGGAAACGAAATCGACTGTTGTTCCGCAGACTGGTGTACAGCGAATAAAAACGAAATCCGTCCAAACGCCAAAGCCGATTTTGAGAAAATTAACATTTGACGTTTGGGCATGCGCATACGGGGGAAATTCCTGATGACTCCAGCCATGTGTCTTCACAAATTTCTGAAATTTAATCAAAATCGTTCGGGGCGTTTTCGAGAAAATCGTCATTTCGTGTTTTGGGGAGTTCGCTTATTCTCCGGCCAATGAACCTAGGAAGGATTGGCTCTTATATACTAAATATGAATAAAGCCCGTCCAGTCTTCCATGCATGCATCATACATACATATATACATACATACGTACACAACGGTCAAGTGCTAGTGACCAAACAAAGGGTTGGCATTGGTAACTGCATTTATAGAACATATAAACCGTAACAAGTAACTATAGCGCTCTCATTAATTCGGGCCCTCTCTTCTGACTACGGCACATGCTAAGTCTTTCATGTCTTAACTAGCCGTTGCCTGGTAACGGATTCCAACAATGTCCTCTGCTTACGTTGTTGCCGGCTTTCTACCATCTCACAATTAACTCATGGTGGCGACTAACTCTCAACCCATGGCTGACAGACTCAAAGTCAAACTCAAAATTACTTTATGACTGGTGGTTTACCGCCAATCACTTCGTCTTGGCGCCAAGCTCCTTGAGGCTCATGACCACATATTTTTTTGCATCTGAACTCTTACAGCCGTTGCCCATATATAACATCCTCTCTAACCAGAAGATGGAGTTTTCTCTTACGAATATTCTTGGCGTGTCGTCAAGTGTTATTGAAAATTGTTCCTTGTGCACTACATACAAGTCTTCTGTCAGTCCAGGCTTTGCAGACCAGATTATATATAGCCACGGCTGATAACCTTTTTATATAACATCGGCACGTACCACAAAGAAGACACCACTTCCAAGAATTCCTTATTGTAGCGTGTTTAATCGTTGCTGCGGAAAAGTGTTTATCTGGTCGAGCCATAGCTCAAGCGGTTAGTCGCTAGCTTCCCATCGCGACGGCCTGGGGTTCGATCCCGGGTCTGGTCAAGTGGGATTTGTTGTGGACAAAATGGCGCTGGGGCAGGTTTTCTCCGAGTACTTCGGTTTCCCCTGCTAATCTTCATTCCACCAATTGCTCCACAATGACCCTCACCTATCATTTGGGGCTGGTACAATAGGCCAGAAGTGGCCGCAGTACAAGGGACTTAGTCCCACCCCACTAGCATTAAAAGAAAATAATTGTTTATTTAGCCGTTACTGGGCAATAGCTGTCTTCGTAAGTCATCATGTCACAATACATACATAGACGGTATGCAAACACCACTTTCTCATACATCGGAGGGGGGGAGGGGCTGAAAGAGTAGAAATTACATCAGAATCTCTCAAGATCGATTTTTTCAAGATCAAAAATATCTCATAAAAACTACCTACTACATGAGAAAGTAATTAGGACGAAGCAATAAGAAGTCAAGGAATATACAGATAAGCCGGGATAGCTCAGCCGGCACAGTGACCGACTATGGCCTGGACGGTCGGGGTTCGATTCCGGCAAGGGAAAGATTTTTTTCTCCTCCACAGCGTTCAGATCGACTCTGGGGCTATCCAATAGGTACCTGTGGCGCTTTCCTTGGGGGTAAAGCGGCCGGGGCATGAAGTTGGCCTCTTACCTCCATCTATTGCCGTGGTCAAGAATGGTGGAGCTACACCTCGACTCCCCAACACATCTTCATGGTGTAGTGTTTAATTAATTACGCACAGGGACAACTTTACCTTTACGGATGAGAGAAAGAGGAGATGGAAGGGAGAAGAGAAGAACTGAAGAAGAAGAGAGGCAAAGAAAGAGAGAGTACTAGCAGGGTGCTCTTTAATGATGCAATCCGAACTGTACAATTTTATTGCTTTTGAACTGCGCACTTCTCTGAAATTAAAGGAGTTACGTAATGAGAATGGCGAATTATGGGTGGGTAGGGATTGGACAGAAGTCGCTCCGCGGCCTGTTTTATGGTCCTAACCGAACGGACGAAAGAAGTAATTGAAAACAGGAAGCACGAGCAAGCACAACCTACATTTTATGCTCACATCTTATTGGAAACACGGCTTAAGCTCGCCTCCGGGTCTCTCTCACGCAAACCCTGTCCGGAAACGGTGAAATCCCACGAGCCGCCGAGGTCGGTGTTGCTCAGGGCTTGTATCCGAAAGGCTCTGGGGTCGAGACTCATCTAGGATGATGGCTACCCTCGTGCTTTTCCTGTTTGAGAATTCCGGATAACTTACTTAAAATTATCAAAGACCACTTCCTTCGAAACTCTTACTTACCACTTATGTTGTTTCTAACGGAGGTAAAATCTTCATGGTATCCTTGAAGAAGGAGGCAATATATTTCTCCGAAATCCTGGTATGAACCTAATACGGTAATTTTGAAAATACATGCAGTATGTTACTCCGAAAAGTTAGTACGTACCCACTCAACTGGTTAACCCTGAAAACGAAGGCAATATGTTCCTCTGAAACTCTGATATCCACATCAGAGTGTAGCCTTGAGGATGGAGTCTGTATGTTCCTCCGAAATTTTTAAAATAATATTACCTGTTCTTAAATTGGTACATGGTGTCAAGCAATGACACCTCAATTCGTACCTCACGCACTACAGTAACTATAGAAAACAGTACTTTCCCTACGCGCTGCATCAGTGTGTCCCATACGTGTTACAGACACTAAAATCCTCAGTAAATCCCTTACGTGCTGCAGTGGATAGTGACCGGAGTATGTCTCTTGTGTGTTGCAGAGAGTACGTACCTTACAGACGTGCGACGTGTCGGCACCCCGCTGATCTGGCCTTGTCCCACCCGGTGAACTGCAGCATGTCCACGCTTGAACGCCTCCACGCGCACATTCACAGAACTAATCTAACTTAAGTCACTTCGCGACACTTAGATATATATTCCGACATGTGCTTCTCAACTGTCTTAGTCAGGTGTCGCCGTGATTAAGTAGTTGTGGCCAGGGACATGAACTCAGCTCGTATGAGTCTTCATGTGTTACAGTTCCATATGTTCAGCGAAGTGCATATGGTGCACTCAGTTGGCTTGGTCTGTCCAAAATCATGCGACGACTGGCAGAACGGAACAATTACTCGTATCTGAAACCAAAGAAAAACGTGTTATTAATGTTACGTTATACAGTCTGTACACGGTATTACTGATACAATCAGGCCCACTGTTGTCAACAATTGGCATCATCAGGTCTACTGCTTCCCAAAAGCTGACGTCAGGCCTATTACTTGCCAAGAACTGACATCAGACATATTAGTTGCCAAGAATTGGCATCATCAGGCATATTATTTGCCAAGAACTGGCATCATCAGGTCTAACACTTGCCAAGAATTGGCATCATCAGACCTAGTACTTGGCAAGAATTGGCATCATCAGGTCTATTACTTGCCAAGAACTGAAATAAGGCCTGTTACTTGTCAAGAATTGCCAACATCAGACATACTACTTGCAAAAATGTTGCTTGTGTCGATGAATGACGTAAGTTGAAAAGTTTTTGTGTTGAGACATACATTTATAAACCCGTTCCTCACCCGGGATCGGTTGGTCTCTTTATCAGTACGAAAATACGAGTATATAGGCCTAATAGCAAAAACATTAAAGAACTATTAATGAAAATAACAAGTGAAATAGGTGGCCGAAACGTATAGTGAGTGAATTTGCATGTAAATGTGGACTACGAGTACGTGGCTATTTGTGCAATAACCTGCAAAGGTGACTCTGAAGACGGTACTGCACGCGCAGTACCGTAGCATGTAGACCCATTGCTATGTAATGACTCTGTAAACAACGCCCGTTACTAGGCAAGATATTCCTAACACGCACCAATGGTCGAACTGGGAAGCGGTGTTCCGTAGGCGGTCCGTGCCACAGCTGCGTGACGCAACAATAAAAGAGTTGTTGGAAGAGATGTTTTATATGCGGTCCGTGCCGGATATTATAAACAGGACAAGTCTAGAATTTAGTTAGTTGTGGGACAGTCACCAGCCGGTAAGAACGTGAGCACGGAAGCAGAGGACACTGTTGAGATCCGTTATTAGGCAACGACTGGTGAAGACACAGCAGACTGAGATGACTCAGTACGTGCCGCATTGAATTGCAGAGTATGCGAATTAGCAATAGAGCTATAGTTATGTGTAGTTATAGTCCGCGCCATAGCTTAAGCGGTTAGTCGCTGGCTCCCCACCGCGGCGGACCGGGTTCGATCCCGGGTCTGGTCAAGTGGGATTTGTGGTTGACAAAGTGGCGCTGGGGCAGGTTTTCTACGAGTACTTCGGTTTCCCATGCCAATTTTCATTCAACCAATTGCTCCACAGTCACCCTCACGTATCATCTGGGGCTGGCACAATAGGCCAGAAGTGGCCGCAGTACACGGGACTTAGTCCCACCCCACTAGCAATAAAAAAATAGTATGTATAGTTATGATCTTCAGGTGTTCAATAAATCAATTACCAATTCAAACCGTTTATAGTTACTCTATCACGTGATAATATGTGTATGTGTAGCACGTGATCAACTAATGCAACAGGTTGCTCAAATACAATATTAAGAAGAGGAAGTTTACTCGTGTAATTACTTGGCACTTTGCTCTGTAACAGCCTTGGGTACCGTACATACTGGCACGAGGATGGCGTAAATATTTCATAACATCTTCGCGTGTTCTCCTAGGTCCGCGGTAGGAAACAAGAAATAGAAGTTACATTTTCATATATACTATACATTGCATGTCTCATCACTAGCAGACTCCACCCTCCGAACTGTTGTGCTCCTTCCCTTACGTAAGAACAAAACCTGTCCTGTGTGGGGATTACCATGCTCATTTACATAGACGAATATGTAATCATCTCCTTATTGACTGTCGTCCTTGTCCCGTGACACATCCTGTACTCCCACTAAATCTAATTTACTTCACTGGTTTCTTGCCTCTGTCTTCAATGAACCTGCATTATACAGCAGGGGTTGGCAAACTTTGTAGCCGAGAGGCTGGATCAGGGGTTGAAATTATTCTAAAAGGCCGGAAAAAAAAAGGTCAACGGAATATTTGACAAGAATAACTACATTAACACTGGTCAATGTATAGATTCAGCAGAAGGCTAATAATCTACGTTAAAAATACCTGAAGACAGCCTCTACGGCCGAGATGTGTAGCTGATAAAATAGGCAAAGTCCCTGCGCTTGATTAATTAAGCACTACGCCATGAAGACATATCGGGGAGTGGAGGTATAGCTCCACCATTCTTGACCTCGAGCACAAGATAGAGGTTAATGGTGAGCTTTATCCCTCCAGGGAAGAGCCCCCGGTACCCATCGGATAGGAGGGTGTGGGCCCCACTGCCAGGCTGAGCGCTATCTCTGTCCTTGTTAGAAAACGAAACTCAATTTCTCTGCCGTCCAAGCTGCAGTCTATTCACTATAGCAATTCAACCATCCCAGTTCCATGTTTCGAAATAATAATAATAATAATAATTGTTCTGCCGTGGTGACAGGGGGCGTGGAGGTGTCTCGCCACTGCCACCATCTTGTTAAGTCTTAGGGAGGGGCTCAGGTAAATTTACAATCACTGACGTATCTGCCGCCTTGGCTTGAGTTTGCAATTCTCCTGGAGGATTCGGAGGGAGGCTGGAGTCTGCAGGGAAGACGATAACACTTGAGGGAATGCTAGGTTCAATTACCATCACAGCGCATTTCTATCCTACTCTATTCACCTATGTCGCTATATACATAATATATAAACCATTTGCCGACGTTCGTCGGTTCGCATTGCATTTGGGTTATTATCCTGTAGCACCACATTAGTCGTGCTCCTGTCACCCTGCTATTGGGTATCCTATCCCTCTATCTCTCTTTCTCAGTAAACCTAGTCCATCTAGTCTTCACTTTCTCTCCCTGGGGTTTGCACTTTAATATTATCACACTTAATGTTCATGGCTATATGAAGTAAGTCTACTTACGTGAGCT